CAAGAGTATTTTGTCAACACTAAACACCAAATGCCAAATACCAAATGCAGAATTCCAAATGCTGAATATTATGCAGTATACGAAGGTGATCCTAACCCTAAACTCTAATCCTCATCCCTTGCCCTTCCTAAACCCTCCCTAACACTAAACTTTAGATTCAGGGTTAGGGCTAAGGGTTAGGGTTACCACAATGTGTTCCCAGAAATATCGACACCCCTCCCATGGAGGTTTGTTTTGCTTTGATACACCCCCTTCTCATTCGTCTGGAAATTCCAGTTTTGGTTCATACTTTCCTTTTAAAGTTTTGGATTTCTATACCTCCCTCCCCCTTGGAATTTCTAACAACCCTCCTTGGGGGGTAACCCGAAAACACTGACCTCCGGTCTGTGGACCCCCACTACGGACTGGTTCCGTGGACTACCTATGGACTGGTCCATGGACCACCCCTACAGACCCCCTCTACAGAAAACCCCCCAAAATATAATAAAAATAATAAATAAATAAATATTTCAGTTACAGGTTGTCTAATAGATTACTCGTGATGGTGAAATTTTTTGAAAGTTACATTGTGCAAATGTACATGTAACAGACCCGGATTCACACACTGCCATTTCCTTTGCTGTGGCCATAAAGTATACGAAAGACGCGTACGGGGAAGCCTCCGGGAAGCCTCAAAATTTGTGTTCTTTCCCCTCTGCCATTTTGTTCAGCCCATTCTCCCGTGGGTTTGTGAACTCGTTCTAGGCTTCACAATTTGCTCAGCTGAATAACAGATACAACCAGGAATAAACAGCCTAAAAATATATCTTCCATAGCCAGATTGAGCCATGAAGGGAAGGTAAGAACTTTCCTTCTTACCATCGGCATCTCCTTACGTTGAAAATAGCTTTTAGGCATTTTTTTGGGAGGTGGGATGGGGTGTTAAAAACCCAAGTCTGTTACATTTGCACAGTGTAACACTCGAGAAATCACCAATATGAGTCTGAATCTATTAGACAACCCATAACTGAAATCTTTATTTATTATTTTTACACTATTTTAGGGTGGTCCGTAGAAGGGGTCTCCGTAGGGGTAGTCCATGGACTGGTCCGTAGGGTAGTCTGCGGACCCGGTCCGTTGTGGGGGTCAGAGAAAACGGGNGGTCTGCGGACCGGGGGTCAGTGTTTTCGGGTAACCCCACCTTGGGGTGGCCATGGATATTTTATAGAACTACACAATAAGGGTCATGTGTAGGTTTGGCTGGTGGCAATAGGGATCACTGTCAACAGGCATTTTACATTCAGGATTTGGTAGAATATACTGCTGCCAAAAGGGGGTGGGGGTAGTAAGCTTATCAAGATATTAGTACAAAGTTGACAGGGCCTACTAAAATTGTTATTATAACAATTATATAACTTATGACGTGACATAGCTCAACTCAATTCCAGACACAGCCACATTTGTTGACGGTCATCAAATCAACTTAAATATAGGAGTACAATAACGAGTATAAAAAGGTGCAAAAGAAACGAACTGACAACATTGAATACCATTGCCACCCCCCGCCCCCCTCTCAACCCGGTTACTACGTTGATGTTTAAGTTGTCAAGATCCCAGCGGGGTTACTTTCCTTCTCCACTTCACCCGCCCTTGCCTGATCACCCTAACCCTCAGGCGACAGACTGAGGCTTACACTGAGAGATAACGGACGTAGCCATTTCAGGAGCTATCAACACTGAAAGGAATTTAAAATAACTTACCCCGGAATGGCATCTGGCAGGAACTATCCACTTGCTACTATTGACTAGGGAAAGGCATGTTCGATAGAACATGTTAACTATCAGTTTTCACATCACTGACCCACAAACAGTGACTAAGCAGCTTGCAGCGAACTTGCAGCAAATCCGCAGCGAAATGAGCCGTGAAAATGTTGCACAGCACCAGCAGACTGTGTACTTCAAATACACAACACAAACTATCATTCCTGGACCTCGCTGAGAACTGCAGTGGCGCGCAAATTTATTTAGCCTTTCTTCGTTGGAGTGACTTCGGCTGATAGAAACTTTCGGGACCGATCCGTTATTTGTTAAACAGATGAACAGATTCTATCTACATGATTATTTTGCCGAGCCCTGGGAACGATGTACATTTGATCAGCGTGCCAGAGTTAGCACCGGAAGTTGCGTGACAGTTGAAATATGCCAGCTCACAGAGCCCTTTCTGTGGTATTTTTCCGCGTGGACATACTGAGCATACTGTGACCGGAATTTCTCGGGATCCATGGCTATCTGTTCTCTAGCAGCATTGATTCTTTTCTTGCTAAGCCTTGCTACAACCGGCAAAGCACAATCGCGCTATCAACAGAGAATCCTCGTCCTTGGAGGAGATGGCATGTTAGGAAGCGAAACAGTAGCCCGATTGAAACTCAGAGGACACGACATCACCATTCTGCATCGAGGAACGTGGTACTGGGACTCCGCTCTAAGAATCAAGCCATGGGTGAAGTTTGTACAGTGCGACCGGGAAGACTTTGACGTCTGCGCTGATAAACTAGGTGACATAACTCGAGAAAAAGGCATATTTGATGCAGTGATCGACTTTAGTGGGTACAAACCAAGCCATATCAAGGTAAACAGGGGTCCTTTGTCATTTCACTTTACAATATCAGTTTGTTGATTGTCTAGACGTGATCTGGGCAACACTCGTGCTTGAGCTCACGTATATAATTTAAAGTAGTGCTTGATTCGAATGACATTGTCAACCCTCAAAATTATAGCGACATATGAAAGGTTATTAGTCTGACCATGTCTCCGAATAGAAGGTCAGGTAATTTATATTTGTCTTTTGGACGTTGCGTGACAATTTACATGAAAAACTTCAAAAAGAAACAATCATTGTTACTAAATGAGGGTGTCAATAAGATGGTGGCTTTCACTGCTAACGGTTAACATTTTGGCTTTTTTGCTGCTAACGGTTAATTTATTTTCCATTGTTTTGATAAGTTAAATTTTTTTTGTTATTTTTTTAAAAAAAGCTAAAAACGTATTTTAATTACCGTAAAACATATTTAATTTAAGGTCTAAGGACCATCCCGGGACTGAAAAACGTATCATTATAAGAATTGTAGTCTAATATTGCAAACAAGCCACAAAACAAGTCAAAAAAAAGTATTTACAAGAGATGTTGAGACTTTCATTTTTTTAGTTTTTTTTTTTTTTTTTTNTCTAACGACACAATCTTTGGCCCGGGGAGGCGTTTTACGACTGACGATTAACCCCAGTGAGACCCTCTTTAATAAGCATTTGATTTCTTGAAGTAATAAAATAATGGCATTTCGAGAGAAGTAATATATGAAATGACTCTAGTAAATTATTTCTCATGTCCCTGATTTGGTAGTAAACTAGTGCGAGCATTTTCAGCAAATTGTCAAATTGCAGCATGTTAAATTTCGCGATTTCGATCAGTTCAAGAAAACGAGGGGAGTCCAATTAGCCGAAATAAAATATGCGCGAGTTTAAAATAAGATTGAGGGAGTGGTAGCGCCGGGCAACTGACTTTCGTTGTTTCTCTGAGACTTCCAAATAGCTTACCCAATCGCATCCGTTTCCTCGCTCTAAGCTATTTCACGTTTAAGTTTAAGGTTCTCTGTATTTCCGCAGGATTTTATGGGCAAGATGCGTAGTAAGATTCGACGGTACATCTACATCAGTACTGATTCAGTGTACGAGGTTTGTCAGGAGCCTTCCCACGATGGGCCCACGCTTGAGGAGGACGCTGTGCGTCCAGAGGATCCGAATACAAGAGAGGCCTATGCTCGTAAGGACCCTTACGGTAGCGCCAAGCTGGACTGTAAGTAAAACACTACCCAACTACTTTAGATTAATAAGGACTGCGCTTTTTATTCTGGTTGTCGTCGTAAACATATTTGTGCATACTGCAAGAGCTAGAGAAGGCTAGTGTAAAAATGAAATTTTTTTTGAATTACATTGAAACGCCCGGGGAATCTCTTGTCTAGTTCCTAGTCCTTTTGATTTTGCCGCAGTCAATCTGTTTCGGGTCACGTGGCTCGAGCGAGTGCCGCAGTCTCATTAGCAATTAAATGGTGGAACATTCGTTTTGCAGGTGAAGATGTAATAAAGAGGGAAAATGAACTGTGGAACATCCCTTACTTGATTCTACGCCTGCCTGACGTCATTGGTCTCCGTGACAACACCAACAGATTCTGGAACTACCTTTTATGGATGCGATTCCACGACATATTTGACCGGCCAGTGGTAATACCACACAGCCTCCAAACTAGATCTCTCAGCTTCGTCTTTTCTGAAGATGTGGCGAATCTTTTGGTAGTCCTTCCGGAGTATGGAGACAACGTGTATAACTTTGCTTACAACCTTGCATTTCGAGAACAAGTGACACTCGAAGAATTGCTCCGAAATATGGCCCAGCACCTTGGTCTCCCTGCGGTAAAGTTTGATAAGCCTAACCAATGGGGTACCCACTATTACCCCTCTGTTACGCGTGGCCCGTTGGATATTTCCATGGCGGAGAAATTTCTTCGTTGGAATCCGCATCAGCTTGACCATGGAATTAGAAAAACCGCGCAATTTTACGAGTACGCCATGAGGTCTTCGGAATTTCAGGTTCAACGAAAGGCAATCCTCGACAGTTTGGATGTCCCTTCTCATGCAATGGGAGCGTTTAGGAAACGGTTGAAGGAAGTTTATAATGTGGATTATGTTAGGCCGGATAATGTAAAAGACGAGTTATAACAAATACTGTAAGTCTAGGCTATAAACTCCAGCACCATGTCTAAATTCGACATAGAAGTGTGCTCAGCAAACGTTGTGTGGATTTTTGCCGCTCTCGAGACTGCAACTAATTCAAAATAATTCAATTATTGTGTAAACTGATGTGATGCAAATACTTTGCTTTATCGGCTAATAAAGATTTGGACGAATTCGTTCATAACTGAACAGAATTGACCATTTTTCCGGAATTGTGCGAAGTCCAGATCTTGTCCCAAATGCAAGTTTGTCCGATCTCTGACAGTTTCCGTTTTATCATTATAGTTTTCATTTCTGAAATTTGAATTTGAAGTACTTTACATAGGAGTTTACGTGGTTCCTAGCATCCCCTCCCATCTCTTGCCAAGTCATTTTCCCAGATTGAGTTCAGAAATCGAATTCAAAGGGATATTACCTCACGCGGGATTCGTATTAGTTTACACCCATTTCAATACAGCTTCGCAAACTGTCCTCCTACATCGTTTACTTACGTGCGGCCGGGGTTAGCATGCAAAGTACTAGTGGTAGCTGACGAGAGATTCCATTTTGCCCAGTCCATTCCAAAACTGAGGGTAGTTTGAAACTTCTTTATGAGTATATCCACTAAAATTTCGTCCGTTCTGTTCAAAGCTCGCTCCATTTGGCAGTACACAATACAAATAAAGCCATCATTTACTGCTTGTAATTCAACAGGGTTTCGTTTAATTTCAATACCAGTACATCATCATAATCTCAAAGTTCTCATCTGAACTGCTAAAATTGCACAAGTGAACGTTTTGTAGTCACGTGCATTCAGAGCTAAACAAGAGAACTAGTTGCTCACAACCGTTTATTACCTGAACTAATTATGGTGAACACGTACAACAGAAAGGGCCAGGCTACAAAACAAAATTATAATCTCGACTCCAGGAGAGTTCTCCCTTTAACTTGAAAGGGACAAATGCCCTGGGGCCCGTTTCTCGAAAGCCACGGAAACCTTTCGGGCCCGTAAAACCATTTTTAGTTCATCTGTAGCTAAAAACGGAGAAGTGTATACGCCTGAAACTTCTTGTATGAAGGGAACCTCTGTTCATATTAAGAATATATGACTAAAACAGCTCTGTAATCGTAAGGTTCGAGACTTTGCTATGGCTTTCCCGGTGCAAAAAATTTTCGGGACCTTCGAGAAACGGGCCCCTGGGCAAGAAGCAGAGAGTGCATAAGGGTATACTTCATCCATAGATGCCTACAATTTATCAGAGACAGTCACACGGCCAATACTCCCCATTTTGAATATCTTCAACACTGTTGGGATTTCTTTCCAGCCAGTTCCAGAAATAAACTATGAATGATTATAATAACATTAAAGTTAACTACAACAGCGTGATATATGAAGAATATCAATTTTCTTTGCTAATTTACAGCTTACGCCATTTCTGGTGGGCGTATTGTATAGAATTACGGTTAAATGATTTTTAAACACTACATCTGGATAACAAAAGTTTACGTTACCCGTAGGAGTTTGCGAGGCTTCAAACAATTAAAAAAACACCGAACAAGTGTAAATCAGGTAAAGAGGGCACGAGACTTTCAACGACGGAAAGCGCCTGCACTTTCGCTACTGCCGCTGACCAGCAGTGACAGTGTCGAGCCAGTCACTCGTACCCTCGATACAAGGTTTCCATATCGCGCAACTGGGACAGCGCAACTGGGACAGCACCAGCTGCCTTGCTAATCCCCGTATTGAGAAACTTCAGGAACTAAAAAAAGGAGTTACTAAAAAACTAACCAAAACTGACAAGTCAATTGCCGGTTTGGTATCAAATCACTTAAACACGATCTAATGAATTTACCAAACAAAAGAAGACAACGTGAGTTTTGGAAAATAATTGAGATTTGAAGCCAAGCGAATGTGCACACAGTACTAGACCATGATATAAATACTCGGCAAGACTATTTTTAGCTCTGGTTTTCACAGCCTATACTCTACTCTCAGCATATATTAGAAATTTTAAAACGTGAACGCATCATCGTATGCGTTACAAAAGTTCTACAGCTATTTCAATAGAAGTATATTAAACTATTTTAACCTCATTATCTTGGAAAACACGCTGCACATTTTTTTAAATATTACAAAACCTTTTTTGCGATGACAGTTCTCGGCAATAATTCTTATAAGTAATCAATATGGCCTTTTACTTTCAAACGTCGATGTACCCCTTTGGTATCTAAACCAACAGATTACTTAGCGCTGACAGCATACACGCTATCGTATGTCATGTAATATCTAACCAGTGGTTCTCACAGCCTGTTCAATTTGTCGAGTTTGACTCTGTGTTTCCCATATCGCGACATATAACACCTTTGACTTGAACCATTAAAATTTAACCGATGGGAGAATAAACTGGACTCCTTAGCTGTAATGGTGCACAGAATGGCTCCTCGCGAAATTATTCAGCTTCACAGATATCAAGAGTGATCCTTCTCTTTTGCTTTAGCTTGAATTAACTGTTTCTGTCGTCGAATCTGTTTCTGCAACATACTTAATCCCTCGTCATCAGAGTACGCACCTCCTCCCTGCTCCTGTCCCTCTTCCTTGTATAATTCTCCATCAGAGAGCCCTGTCCTTCTCTCTGGACAGGGGGGTGGTACCGAAGACTTCCTCGCAGGAGGCATAGGTGCACTTCTGCTTCGCGCAGCGTGACTTGCTAGCGCCGCAAGCTGTGCCTGTTGGGCTGCGGAAGGCCGTCCTGATACACTCTGGCTTCTGTTGTACATGGCTTTTGCTTTCTGTTGCGGTGTCCACCCGCCGGAATTTTCTTGAATATTTTCAGGATTCGAGCGATGATGTTGCCCACCGTAACTGAAATAGCCCGAATCACTGCTATTTAATCCGCCAATCTGGGCGTCTCCATTACCCGAGTAGCTGCTCTGTGAAGACGTCTCGCTGTCGCTTCTTCGATGAGCCATACCGTACTGGTACGGAGACATGGCAGACGCGGACTCACTCATGCAGCGTGTACGCGTATTACTGACAGCGTAAGGCGTGGCATATTGAGGCCCGTGAGGGTAGTGTCCTGACGCGTCATCTCGCGGGTGTTCCGCTATGGAGGAAGGAAGGTAAACTTGTGCAAGCGAGGCAGAAGGTGACCTCTCCCCTGAGGAAGAGGAATAGCAACCAGAGTCTGTAGATGTTGTCCACGACGTTCTGTCACCTGTGTAAAGGATTACACAAACACATATGAGATACTGCTAGTACGTTGCCAAGTTCTTACAAGAATGTGTAAAAGAACGTCTGGTCATGTGAACTGTCAGTGTATTAAAACTCCGACTAGACTGCTGGCAGTCTGTTTTTCTCTCGAGATTCAGCAGGGGTTATGAGGCCAGACGCTTTAGCCTAAAGGGGAATGGAAATGCCGACTGAACAATGTGCAAGCTGAAGAAAGCAAAGCGACAACTTAATTTCAAATGCCAGTCGTCTCCCCGCCCACAGTCCAAGCCCCAAGCCTAGCTTAGTGCAAACTGAAGGTAAACTTCTTCTCAACCGGTTGTACAGTCTGAAGCCCAACTAGCTGGCTATAAGCGAAGCTGAAGAGATTACTCGGAACCTACTATGCTCCAAGTCCATCTAGAGGTCAAAGGCAAAGACTTGAACCCCAGACGTCCTGATTACAAGTTCAACGCCCTTACTGACCAAAACCTAATCGGAAACTTTGACATTGCCCTACCGAAGACTTGCCGAAACGGTATTCGTTTCTCCGATTGAAAAGGGAACATTTACTACTCACCTGGATGAGGTAAGGCAGACACTGCCCCAGGGAAGGGGGGAGGAGGTGGCATTTCGACTTGCAAGTCTCCTGAGTAACCAGGCGAGAGCAGCGGGGTTGGAGGCTTAGGAAAGCTCTCTACTGACGGCGATCCTATTGACGATCCTAGAGACGACATTGATGACTGGGACGAGGTGGAAGACACGCTAAAGCTCGTGGAACGGGAGCAGATGCGGGGCGGGGGTACTTTCTTGGGAGAAGTGGAGGGTGTGACGGATCCCGTAAGCTTGTTTCGCGTGTGACTGTGTTTCACGGAGAACGAGTAATGTCGACTGAATGCATTGAAATAAGGGTCCGTTTCTGACGGGGGTGGAGGCGGTGGGGTGGTAGGAGGGTCGCGGCCTGTATGCTGTGGACTGGTGGCTCTGGTCAATGTGGTCGTTGGACTCGGCGGTGGAGACTGCAAATAGCAACAAACAAACAAACAAACAAACAAGCAAACAAATCATTCAGTTACCCAAAGGAGATCACTTCTTTCACTATTTATGGGTTGGACAATATGGGGTGTTGAAAACAGACTTGATTGCACACTTTGCTCTGACGAAACGTCAGTCTTACGAACTCGCCAAGGCGGTTAATTTACCGTCATCAACTTTAACTTGATGAATAGCTAAGTGTTTTACTTGCCCGCCGTGACGCCTAGCAGTTTCTTTAATAATTAATAATACTTATTATTAAAATACACATCGTACAGACTTCCATGTAATACTCAGTTGCGCACAAAAACCGATACCTCACTTATCTATTGCACAAGCTATGAGCAGCTCAAAACCGCGTTTATCAAAGTTGAACACTGTGTTTTGTTTTTTCACTCTAATCAGAAACTCTGTGGAAACTATTACTTTACGCGCAAATAAAAACCAATCAGGGAAGGCAAGCTAAATGGATCTCTGGGGAGGTGCGTCATCAAAATAGCATTTCTCGTACCCAGTCTCAGGCGTCACTCGGCAGACGTGATGAAATAAACAAGTCATAGGGCCGAGGTTCACGTTTCGTAGTGTAAAGTTCATTTCAAGCTCCTTAGTCAGTAAGTTGAATTGTGTTTTCACCAACCTGGTCATCGTAGTTATGATGATCAGACAGTCTGAAGTCTCGCACTAGGTCCTCTCCAGCCAGTGGCAGCGTGGATGGACTAATTGTCTGCTTGATGATGTCTGCAAGAACTGACTGCAGGTGTTCAATTTCTCCCAACATAGAAATCTCGTGCTCCTAAAACCACGTGAAAAAGAATCTAGGTTAAACTCATTGCAATGATCAGAACAATACTAAAGTAACAAAGGCTAAATAATTTAGAACGCTAGATAGCCATTCAAAAAGTTGCAGTTCTTCAAATAAGAAATAACCGCCACATTTTACAGAAAAGAAATAATAAATCATGGACGGCAGCTAACTTAAGTTGCCTTAGGAAAGTATGAAATGCGAGGAGTGAGGAGAGACGAATCCCAGCTTCAGTGCAGGGAATGGCAAAGGAGATGAGCAGTTTATTTATCCCACATATACTTAAGAGAGACACTAAAATACAACCTGATATTATTGACTTGAAGCCACAGCTCTATATAACTATTTGTAGTTGACTTGACTTGAAACGTATCAGAGCGTGTGGAAACATTGATGATTATCTGAACCGACAATAACGAGTAAAACATCCTGATGAGACTTACCACAACTGGTCTAAAACAAGAAGCTAACAGACAATATCTAGTTCTCTCTTCCACCAACACTTTTCTGAGATAACGCTTCTCCTGCTCTTCAAATGCTGCTTGCTGAGCACTTGCTTGCTGCAAGATACAGTCACAGAGTTTACACATCAAAAAATAACATCAATTGCAAAGATATACCAGCAAATCAGAAAAATAGTGAACAAAACTAAACTGAAGAGAAGTGTTATGAATCTAGTGATGTATACAAAGTAGTTTGTAACACTTGGAGAAATGAGTAGCAGTCACGAGCAGTGAATTTCAATATCAGGACAAATGCTACAACAATTCTGATTGACCCACAGGTTTCCAGCATAAAAAGATTGCATGGGCATTCCAGCAGGCAACGGAGAAAGTGGTGGCACAAACGTCTGCAAGGTGCATAGCTAGTGCAGATAAAAGACAGTGCTCCAGCAAAGAAAAACAAACCAACAAATTGCAACCAACAATTTCTCCAATGCCTGTTGCAATATTTCCCAACATATAACAACAGGGGAAACTTGTGAATACTTTTTTCTATTTCAAAGTGATACGCACCTTCAAGGCTGCATCAAGTTTTTCTTGGTGTTCTGACTTTCCTGGGAGAACAAAGAATATAGAATCATTGTCAACACTTATCATAATAAACTGTATAACTAAACATGTCTCCTACTTGGTAACAATCAAGTCTCGAGGCATAACTCTAAAATGTAACCACTGTAAACACAGCAACTCTAGCTCAGAGTGCTGGAAAAAGTTCTCTTCCACAAAACAATGATACAAGTGGGATATAGTTTCCAGTGACTTTATGACAGGGTGATTGGTAGCATTAAGGATGTAACATACACAGCTGGGATCACGCATTAAATACATTAGATTGATTTTCAAGTGTAATAAATATTTATTATGCTCACCTAACTCACCTTTTTTAACCTTCTTTTGCCACTTGTTTGTTTCTGCTGTAGCCTTTTTCAAATCCTGTTTGGCTTTCTTGTATTCTGACACAACAAAAAATTAATATTGTAACCCCAAATATCTACTAGAAACTAGTAGGGTACAAAAAGTGTACATATCCTTCCATTGTGTTGATGGATAAACAGAGCAATTTTCTTTTTCTACAGAATTATTGTAAACTTAAATGCACTTTTCTGTATTTTTTCATACACATGCCCTCAAAGACTCACACTGCAGCATCTAAGACAGATGACATACAGCAGCATAACAAAGAAAATTTGACAAATATAAAAAATATCAACTACACAAAATGATACACAAGTCATATTTTAGACTTTAATTGAATTAACATGTGGACACACTTTTAAAGATTTGATATGTTTTCAACCTCAGGATCAACAGCAGCTTTCAACAGGAAATAAATTCTTGTTATCAAACAATTTTTCCAACTTGATACCTTTTGCATGATCTTTGTCCATTTGTATAACAGACTTTTTCCAATCATCCAACCTCTCTTGAAGAGGAAAGATCAGGGCTTCACACAGTAACCTGAACAATCCACAAATCAAGCATTAGAACAATAATCATGGGCAAAAAATGTCACAAATTCGCTTCACATATATCATTATGGCTTTAAACTTGCATTACTTTCATTGCTTGAAACTTGAATTGTACTATACTCTTTTACTGTATTGCTCATTATTAGGTTTCTTTAAAAACAAAAATGTGGTGATTTCCTGGTTCAGTAGTGTGCAGTGCCCCAGTTAACAAAGGGGTCTCAGCTCAAAAACAATCTGACTTGACATATTCATGGAGAACTTCTGAGGTTTAGGCGAGGTCAGCTGCATCTACGTGTATTGACTCTTGTCCGTAGCTTAATACCAACTTGCCTTTGAATTTTATCTGGCACCCTGTAGGTTCCCTGCAGGTCTTGTCATTTTTAATCAGAAATTAGGTTTTAAGGTTTAAAACTTCAGTGGACTCCTAATAGCTTGAACCCTTGCCAACTCGAACGTTGTGCTAACTCGAACCAAAATCAATTTCCCTTGGATTTCCCTCATACATGTACATTTACTGTAATTTTACCCTTGGTAACTCAAACACTTGATAATTGGCACCTTCTGCTCTCTTGAAGCAATTTTAGTTTCCCTTCAGGTTATTTTCAATATAATTTTACCCTCGATAACTTGACCCATGTTTGTCAATACATCATAAGTCAAAATAAGCAGTACTCTGCTGCTTTAATTTTCTTTGTTCAGTTTCATGTATTTTGAGAAATATAAATATTTTATATTGTTCCATTTTCACTCAACGTCTCTATAATTAAATGTGAATAAAATGTTCACTGTTTGAATAGAAATACAGCAAACACTATTTTTTTCCTCATTTCTGGTTATCTGTTGTCAACTACCGATGACTCGAACTCCGCATAACTTGAACCTGTTTCAATTTCTCTTGAAGGTTTGAGTTATCAAGAGTCAATTGTATTGCTTAGATGCATCCAATCCATGGTCTAAATAACATTTACAAGACTGTCTATGTAGTGTGTTCAAGCAGCGTGTTCAATTAAAAAAGAACTTACCCAGCCAATCCTTTCAGTTTACTATCCATGCTACGGTGCCTTATCACCATCTTGGTGAGAGATCCTCCTATGTCTTTGCAGCATCCTGAGAAATGAATGAATGAATAAATAAATAAATAAATACATAAATAAATAAATAAATAAATAAATAAATAAATGAATGAATGAATGAATGAATGAATGAATGAATGAATAAATAAATAACAGTCACACATGACCTGATATACAAATATGCATAACATGAGTAGGTCTACATCGAAGACAGACTGCGTATATAAATCTACTGTTTCACTATTAACATGAAAGTACATAGGTAGTATTTTTGTGCGACTTACTTTTTTTTCGTGATAGTTCATTTTTTTTTTTTTTAAATGAAAGCTAGGGTTCTGTTTCAAAAATATTGTGCGGGTAAGGGGATCTTAAAAAGGTCCAAAAAGTTCAAGGCCATAAGCTGGATTCCAGCACTCTACATAGATGTTAATTTAATTTACCACTGTGGGGTATAATGTTACATGTGATCATGTTTCCTTTCAGTACTTTACTCTCCAATCCAAATAACGTGTAACATTATACATCAGCGATTTCAATGACTACAGGTATAACTGAAGGTTTATCAGTTAATTTAATTTCGCTCAGAAATGTTCTTTGTACATTACGAGCATCTGCCTAGTACTCTGCAATGTGAATGGCAGTAACATTTTATAGCAAGAATAAGTCCAAAATGAGGGGTTATTGTTTCCCCTTGTATCCTGTCATAAGCAGACATTTCTCTGACAGGGTCTGGCCCCAGCAAATTGAGTGGCTGTGAGGATGATTTTGCCCATCTGGTTTGAACATCTAGAGGAAAGGCTTTCTAATTTATAAAGAAGTTCATTTCTAAAAGCTTTGGCTGCTTGCAAAAACCAGTTGCCCTCCTGATGAATACACTTACATAGCATGAGTATCCCCTGGATTGAGATAAAAAAAGGTGGCATAAATAATCCATGAGATATGTCCTATGATATGCATCAATCAGCCACATGCTGTCAACTGTGTGTGATTGATAACCCTCTTAGCTCAAGAAGAAAATCTATTTTAGTCTAAAAAGGGGCCAAAAATATACTTTGCTGTTATGCATTTAACCATTATTCATCTACAAAACAAGATTAAACTTTCAATGTAGAAACTAATGACGGACAAAATACTCAAGTGTTAAACATAGAAAATCCAATGCTGAAACAATAGGATTTGCTAACCCAGGCCACACAAGACTGATTAGAATATAAAGTGGACAGTCTTTCACACCCTTCATTACTACATAAGATAAAATTATATAGAGCTGTGAGACAAAAGGTATAACACAGGGTATTATCTATAGCAAATTCATGCTGTCTATTCAAACATCACACAAAGTCAAATTCTAAAACAATTTACGTGACAGACTTGTTCATTCTTTAAAAAATTCATAATATTAGACTGACAACAATAATTCATTGATGATAAGATAGGTATTATGAATCATTTGACCAGAAAGGAATGCACCAGCATAGCATTAAAACAAGATTCTAAATCCATTGATAGGAGTAACAGGAACAAAGACATATTTCTACAATGACGGTCTTTGTCTTTAACACAATACAAAAGAATAAATATTATTTCTTGTGTGACAGGCCGGCACCATCCTCTCATTTTTCCTTCCTGTTTGGTTATGTCATGTTCACATAGCAAAAGTTTTCTTCAAGTTGTGTGATACAAAAGAATTATAATGTTGTCAGTTGCTTTCACTTGAAGATGCAATACACACAAGATAGCAAATGCAAGATAGCAAATTTATATCAATCACCTCATGGAAGGTTTTCAACCAAGATTACATGTTAATGACATTCTTATATGGGTAATGAGTTGGATAGAATGAAAAAAGTTACTTTACAGATGTTCATGTCCTAGAATGCTTGCTCATTTGCTACCTTTGTTATTACATTATAAATGTCTGTCGAGGTCTAAAGTTTTCAGATTTAATCACCACATAAATGTTAATTAAAAATATTCATTGAGACACAAGAAAATTCTAGTAAATATACTTTGTCAACAATAATTTTCCCACACTCTTTTTCTCACATCAATAAAATTAAAAACACTCTTGGATGGAAGGTGTTCAAAGTTAATTGATGACTTCATAAACTTGGGATTTATCTAAAGGAAGTAGAGGTATTTAACTTAGAAAAATAATCCCACACATGGAAAAGATAACAAACATCAGGGCCAATCAATGCAGTTTAAAAGTGGACAAGCATTCCAATGCAATTATGTATGTCTTTCAAAAGACATAAATTGATTAATTAAGGTACAAATACATTAGCCAGTAGGTAATTAACCACATGTTTATTTAAGCACTGGCATGGTAAAAAAAAAAAATAATATGAGGTCTGCTTTCCTTGTTGTTATATAAAGACAAAACAAGCAAGGGCCTGGTTTTAATTGCTATTGTGAAAATTCTACAAAGAAAAGATAAGATTATGTTTTGACATAATTTTCCCAATTTAAGCATGTTCAGCAAAAATTAATGCTTTTTAATGATGCAATAGGAAGAAATACAACACCTTTACAAAGTCCTTCCACAATTGAACACAGGCATACGAAAATAAGGCAGAAAGTTGCAGGAGCTACCTCAGTCTGCTAACTCTAGGTAACAAATTACCCAGTTTCATTGATTGTAAGTGGTATGTTGTCATGGAAAACATGGCCAATAAAGTGACATATGTAGCCATCAAATGTTGTAATCATACATTATTTTGCATGTGGTTTTGGATTGGGGGTTCAAACGCTGGGGTTCAAAAAAACTTTCAAATAGAACTATGCAGTGTCTAATTCACTTGAAAGCACTGCTTCATACACATAACTTGCACACAGTTTAAGCAGAATAAAATGCCGTCGGGTTGCTCACATAGACAATGCCACAGCTGTTTATAATATTAACAAATGAAATAATGAATCTCTCTTACAAAAATATGTGACAAATTACGCTTGACAAATGTTGTACCAGCAACTAGCCAGTGTGCCAGGTGCAGTTGGGGAAAGCGAAGAAGTAATGCAGAAAGAAATAGTAAAGGAATGTTTCTGCATTAAAAACCTTGGTTAAGATATTCAATGAAGGTTGCATTTCTAAAAAAAAATGTCCTTGTAGTTGTACCAGAAGCATAGGTGATATGCTTCTGGTTGTACAAGACAGGCTTTTAGCTAGGATTTCAAATGCGGGTGTCCAAAATGAGCTATAGGGTCTGCTCAAATGAACAATTTATAAAGAAACATGAAAAATTAAACAATTTTCTTTAAAAAGTGGGAGTCCGTAGGATGCCAGCATGCAGACTTTTAGTGCCTCATTGGCCAGTTATGCAGGCATTTCCTTACATCTTACAAAATTGGATTACTTTCAGTTTATGTGCATATCTACCAAAATTCTGAACTGCTAGTCAAATAGGTTCCCTACACTGTATATAAAATTCTTTACATCAAATACTTTACAGCACACGTAACATGTTAAATTAAACCATTGCCCTGTGGGATACACAGCAGAATTAATTTTCACAAAGTAGAACACAAGACACCCTGTAATTATCTTATGTTTGGCAAAAATCCATTCCATTAAAATCGCTTCAGAAAGTCAGTCATGAAGAGGTTTCAATAGCTGCACCTTTATAAATTGTTTCGAGGTACCTCCATACTCTACAATGACCAAACACACATGTGCAGAATCTTACAAATCTGTTAAACTAATTACTTCTAGTAACTGTTAACATAACTTGACACAAGGCGATGTGCAGGGAAAAGAGTTAGTGGTAAACAACATATCAAAATTTATAACAAAACTTTGGCATAAAGTAAAGGAGTACAACAATTTTGACATTTTTTGAAATACATCCAGAAAAATGATCTTTACTTCCAGAATTCTCTATAACAAATTGACCGTTTCTGTAACTAGAGGAGATTGGTGAATTGTTACACAAATTCAATTTATAAGTGGAAATTTGTGGCAATGTAATAATTGAATCTTAAAATTTTCATGTTATTCTGGCACAAAAAATAATACTTAAAAAACTGGTACAGTGCAGTGGCTAAAACACGGAAGTTACTTCACAGGTCAGCTTTGGAACATGATAGTCGACAGTAAAGACTTCAGTCTATCGGGTTTTCTTGTCATATATCTAGCGGTCAACTTCTGGGTCTTGTTGAAGTGATACTATTCATTTGAAGATTTTTTCTTAAATTTAACCCATTTTACGGTCGTGAAATGGTTCCAATATGAACTTCATCAAATGCTGTTGAAAATTTCCATCACAAGGGGATTTCCGCGACTCTATGTACTCAATTAGCACCCAGAAATTCGAGTTTTGTACAAAACAGGTGGCGCGAAAATATAAATAAGACCGGAATTGATGCAACGAAACCAAACCGCAAATTCGATAGGAAGAGATAAGATGGAAAAAAAAATCACAACTGAGTTCAAAAGCAAAGTAAAAAACAAACGAACGATTTCAGGACTGAAGAAATAACAAAAGCAAAAGAAGATTTTTCTACGAACCGATCAAACTACAGTAAGCTAAATTTGAATTGAACAAAACCGAATTACGCGGTAAAATGCAATTTCTTTAGCGCCAAAATTGTTAACGGACAACGAACAGTGTAAAGACCTGCTAGACAAGTACGAGAGAAAGTGGCGCTAAAGTCTAGAAACAGGAATGGCATTTCAAAGAGACCATTTCTAACGAAGTTAGCTGGTTCATGTCAAACACTGAGTTGAAACGTCGCGGTAAAAGTTTTAGATCACAACAAAGACCGCGTTGTGCGCGTAAACTGTCGATCGAAGCTCGCGAATGCTGTGCCACATTCGAGACTTGGCTTCGATCGGTTCTACTCTTCCGAAGTACGAAAAGTTTAGTTGCATGCAAGTTTAACGAAAAAACCTGTAGTGGCCAGTTATTAAATAAAATCTACAAATAATATTTTAGTAAACACCGCCGCTTTGCCTTGAGTTAACAACAATATCAAACTGCTTTGTAAATTCCCGTGTCGATCACATTTTCGTCTTACATTGACGTTGAAGACTTGACTGAAAACTCGATCAAAGGTTGATGGTACATGCGCGCCTGTTACTCTCTGTTTGTTCTTTCGTGAGAGAAAAACATTCCCTTGCCAAAGTACGACTCAAAATTCTCCCGCAAAAGGTAACCCTTAAATAAACAACAACTAAAAATACCAAGCTGAAGTCCTGACCCGCTGAAATTAAAACCGCGGAGTGACGAAAAACGAAAACATGTGCTTTTGGCCCCTGCCACATTTAAGCTTATCTTTGAAAATTTCGAGTTTGTCTGGTTCGTAAAATATTGGCTCAGTTCTGTGTTTTGCTAAACAACTGCGGTACCAAAGCAAATAAAAGTTGAGTGAGGCTTACGCGGCAAAATGGAAAAGTGCCGTGAAATACGTTGTACACTCACCTCGTGACGAGTTCGCGGCATCGGCGACGCGCTGAAAAGCGTCCAAAAATGCATCCGCTGCGATAACTGTTGTCCTGGACAAGTAAAATTTGAAATAAATTAGCTTTTCTGTTCTCTTATCTTCGGTCAAAAACTAAATTATCAACGCGTAAATTATAGAAAATCAGACTCCAATTATTCGCGACGTACTTTAGCGCCGAATGTAGTTTACTCGCTTTGCCTACGAAATCTTCCCACACCGGGGCACTGGCCTGAAGGAAAGAGAAAGAAATTAGCTCTAAAAATGACTAGAAAAATTACAAACTAAAACTTTTTCAAGAATAATTCACGATTCCCACCTTTATGTCGTTCAATATCAAATGAATTAAGTTCCCTTCGCTGTCCGCGTTGTCGCCCATGATGGCGGTTGTCTGTAGTTCGCTCGCTTCTATTTCACTTTCACGTTTTTAACATGAGTTCATTGAAGTCCCGCAGTTCTACTATGGAATTTAGGAATGACTTTCTTCGCGTGGATAAGGAGTGTCAGTTTTCACGTTGTGTTCAAGGATATCCTAGGTACGGAAGCGCGAGTATTTCTCCCTACAAAGAATACAATCTTCCGATTAGCACACATATACCCACACATCATGGTCTCCGATCAAGTCACGTGATAAGTTATCACTGACTTCATTTGCATTCGCACGAGACGCGGCCGATGAAAATTAAACAAATGCCCACAGACTTGTATCATCAATTAGCAAATTTACGTACAGAAAAACGCGATAAATATTTATGAAAACCGTGCATGCATCGCTGTGCGCTGGCCAGATGTCGTTTTAAAAACAGACCGAGACACCGCGCCTGTAATGACCTCGCCGGTGATGTCTTTGAATTTCGACGCAAAGCTGGGTTGGGTATCAATTTATTGTCTCAAAATTCAGCCATGCCTTAACTACGACGACGTTAAAGAAACAAACAACAGTTCTAGACTATACAGACTGTATAAGATGACGAAAAAACAGCACGTCCGAAGAAGGATTTCAAAACCACAAACTCTAAACATTTGTTTTGCGACCATGGCTACAGAACCGAACATTCTTTCAATACATGTATTTTAGATACATTTATAGCGCGAATAGAGAGAATTCGTCGCTTAAGTTTCAAGCAAGAGGAATTTTTACAGTGCTATGTATAATTGTACAGTAAAACTAAAAAAGAAACATTCTTTTTAACGATTTTTTTCAAATCGTGGTATTTTTTTTAAAGACTATCTTCTCTTATCACAAGCGCGCATCTTTAAAGAGAAAAATTATCTACAAATTGTTAACTTCTCTGTTGCACCGCGTATCAACAATGACAACTTGGAAATCTTGACTTGGAGAGCGTTTGCAAGATGAGTAGAAACAGACGAGAGCAAAATCTTCCAGGGATAGGTCACAAGGTCAGAGAGACACTTCGTTCAGCCAGGCCTACAGACTACTTGTCATATNACCTCATGGAAGGTTTTCAACCAAGATTACATGTTAATGACATTCTTATATGGGTAATGAGTTGGATAGAATGAAAAAAGTTACTTTACAGATGTTCATGTCCTAGAATGCTTGCTCATTTGCTACCTTTGTTATTACATTATAAATGTCTGTCGAGGTCTAAAGTTTTCAGATTTAATCACCACATAAATGTTAATTAAAAATATTCATTGAGACACAAGAAAATTCTAGTAAATATACTTTGTCAACAATAATTTTCCCACACTCTTTTTCTCACATCAATAAAATTAAAAACACTCTTGGATGGAAGGTGTTCAAAGTTAATTGATGACTTCATAAACTTGGGATTTATCTAAAGGAAGTAGAGGTATTTAACTTAGAAAAATAATCCCACACATGGAAAAGATAACAAACATCAGGGCCAATCAATGCAGTTTAAAAGTGGACAAGCATTCCAATGCAATTATGTATGTCTTTCAAAAGACATAAATTGATTAATTAAGGTACAAATACATTAGCCAGTAGGTAATTAACCACATGTTTATTTAAGCACTGGCATGGTAAAAAAAAAATAATATGAGGTCTGCTTTCCTTGTTGTTATATAAAGACAAAACAAGCAAGGGCCTGGTTTTAATTGCTATTGTGAAAATTCTACAAAGAAAAGATAAGATTATGTTTTGACATAATTTTCCCAATTTAAGCATGTTCAGCAAAAATTAATGCTTTTTAATGATGCAATAGGAAGAAATACAACACCTTTACAAAGTCCTTCCACAATTGAACACAGGCATACGAAAATAAGGCAGAAAGTTGCAGGAGCTACCTCAGTCTGCTAACTCTAGGTAACAAATTACCCAGTTTCATTGATTGTAAGTGGTATGTTGTCATGGAAAACATGGCCAATAAAGTGACATATGTAGCCATCAAATGTTGTAATCATACATTATTTTGCATGTGGTTTTGGATTGGGGGTTCAAACGCTGGGGTTCAAAAAAACTTTCAAATAGAACTATGCAGTGTCTAATTCACTTGAAAGCACTGCTTCATACACATAACTTGCACACAGTTTAAGCAGAATAAAATGCCGTCGGGTTGCTCACATAGACAATGCCACAGCTGTTTATAATATTAACAAATGAAATAATGAATCTCTCTTACAAAAATATGTGACAAATTACGCTTGACAAATGTTGTACCAGCAACTAGCCAGTGTGCCAGGTGCAGTTGGGGAAAGCGAAGAAGTAATGCAGAAAGAAATAGTAAAGGAATGTTTCTGCATTAAAAACCTTGGTTAAGATATTCAATGAAGGTTGCATTTCTAAAAAAAAATGTCCTTGTAGTTGTACCAGAAGCATAGGTGATATGCTTCTGGTTGTACAAGACAGGCTTTTAGCTAGGATTTCAAATGCGGGTGTCCAAAATGAGCTATAGGGTCTGCTCAAATGAACAATTTATAAAGAAACATGAAAAATTAAACAATTTTCTTTAAAAAGTGGGAGTCCGTAGGATGCCAGCATGCAGACTTTTAGTGCCTCATTGGCCAGTTATGCAGGCATTTCCTTACATCTTACAAAATTGGATTACTTTCAGTTTATGTGCATATCTACCAAAATTCTGAACTGCTAGTCAAATAGGTTCCCTACACTGTATATAAAATTCTTTACATCAAATACTTTACAGCACACGTAACATGTTAAATTAAACCATTGCCCTGTGGGATACACAGCAGAATTAATTTTCACAAAGTAGAACACAAGACACCCTGTAATTATCTTATGTTTGGCAAAAATCCATTCCATTAAAATCGCTTCAGAAAGTCAGTCATGAAGAGGTTTCAATAGCTGCACCTTTATAAATTGTTTCGAGGTACCTCCATACTCTACAATGACCAAACACACATGTGCAGAATCTTACAAATCTGTTAAACTAATTACTTCTAGTAACTGTTAACATAACTTGACACAAGGCGATGTGCAGGGAAAAGAGTTAGTGGTAAACAACATATCAAAATTTATAACAAAACTTTGGCATAAAGTAAAGGAGTACAACAATTTTGACATTTTTTGAAATACATCCAGAAAAATGATCTTTACTTCCAGAATTCTCTATAACAAATTGACCGTTTCTGTAACTAGAGGAGATTGGTGAATTGTTACACAAATTCAATTTATAAGTGGAAATTTGTGGCAATGTAATAATTGAATCTTAAAATTTTCATGTTATTCTGGCACAAAAAATAATACTTAAAAAACTGGTACAGTGCAGTGGCTAAAACACGGAAGTTACTTCACAGGTCAGCTTTGGAACATGATAGTCGACAGTAAAGACTTCAGTCTATCGGGTTTTCTTGTCATATATCTAGCGGTCAACTTCTGGGTCTTGTTGAAGTGATACTATTCATTTGAAGATTTTTTCTTAAATTTAACCCATTTTACGGTCGTGAAATGGTTCCAATATGAACTTCATCAAATGCTGTTGAAAATTTCCATCACAAGGGGATTTCCGCGACTCTATGTACTCAATTAGCACCCAGAAATTCGAGTTTTGTACAAAACAGGTGGCGCGAAAATATAAATAAGACCGGAATTGATGCAACGAAACCAAACCGCAAATTCGATAGGAAGAGATAAGATGGAAAAAAAAATCACAACTGAGTTCAAAAGCAAAGTAAAAAACAAACGAACGATTTCAGGACTGAAGAAATAACAAAAGCAAAAGAAGATTTTTCTACGAACCGATCAAACTACAGTAAGCTAAATTTGAATTGAACAAAACCGAATTACGCGGTAAAATGCAATTTCTTTAGCGCCAAAATTGTTAACGGACAACGAACAGTGTAAAGACCTGCTAGACAAGTACGAGAGAAAGTGGCGCTAAAGTCTAGAAACAGGAATGGCATTTCAAAGAGACCATTTCTAACGAAGTTAGCTGGTTCATGTCAAACACTGAGTTGAAACGTCGCGGTAAAAGTTTTAGATCACAACAAAGACCGCGTTGTGCGCGTAAACTGTCGATCGAAGCTCGCGAATGCTGTGCCACATTCGAGACTTGGCTTCGATCGGTTCTACTCTTCCGAAGTACGAAAAGTTTAGTTGCATGCAAGTTTAACGAAAAAACCTGTAGTGGCCAGTTATTAAATAAAATCTACAAATAATATTTTAGTAAACACCGCCGCTTTGCCTTGAGTTAACAACAATATCAAACTGCTTTGTAAATTCCCGTGTCGATCACATTTTCGTCTTACATTGACGTTGAAGACTTGACTGAAAACTCGATCAAAGGTTGATGGTACATGCGCGCCTGTTACTCTCTGTTTGTTCTTTCGTGAGAGAAAAACATTCCCTTGCCAAAGTACGACTCAAAATTCTCCCGCAAAAGGTAACCCTTAAATAAACAACAACTAAAAATACCAAGCTGAAGTCCTGACCCGCTGAAATTAAAACCGCGGAGTGACGAAAAACGAAAACATGTGCTTTTGGCCCCTGCCACATTTAAGCTTATCTTTGAAAATTTCGAGTTTGTCTGGTTCGTAAAATATTGGCTCAGTTCTGTGTTTTGCTAAACAACTGCGGTACCAAAGCAAATAAAAGTTGAGTGAGGCTTACGCGGCAAAATGGAAAAGTGCCGTGAAATACGTTGTACACTCACCTCGTGACGAGTTCGCGGCATCGGCGACGCGCTGAAAAGCGTCCAAAAATGCATCCGCTGCGATAACTGTTGTCCTGGACAAGTAAAATTTGAAATAAATTAGCTTTTCTGTTCTCTTATCTTCGGTCAAAAACTAAATTATCAACGCGTAAATTATAGAAAATCAGACTCCAATTATTCGCGACGTACTTTAGCGCCGAATGTAGTTTACTCGCTTTGCCTACGAAATCTTCCCACACCGGGGCACTGGCCTGAAGGAAAGAGAAAGAAATTAGCTCTAAAAATGACTAGAAAAATTACAAACTAAAACTTTTTCAAGAATAATTCACGATTCCCACCTTTATGTCGTTCAATATCAAATGAATTAAGTTCCCTTCGCTGTCCGCGTTGTCGCCCATGATGGCGGTTGTCTGTAGTTCGCTCGCTTCTATTTCACTTTCACGTTTTTAACATGAGTTCATTGAAGTCCCGCAGTTCTACTATGGAATTTAGGAATGACTTTCTTCGCGTGGATAAGGAGTGTCAGTTTTCACGTTGTGTTCAAGGATATCCTAGGTACGGAAGCGCGAGTATTTCTCCCTACAAAGAATACAATCTTCCGATTAGCACACATATACCCACACATCATGGTCTCCGATCAAGTCACGTGATAAGTTATCACTGACTTCATTTGCATTCGCACGAGACGCGGCCGATGAAAATTAAACAAATGCCCACAGACTTGTATCATCAATTAGCAAATTTACGTACAGAAAAACGCGATAAATATTTATGAAAACCGTGCATGCATCGCTGTGCGCTGGCCAGATGTCGTTTTAAAAACAGACCGAGACACCGCGCCTGTAATGACCTCGCCGGTGATGTCTTTGAATTTCGACGCAAAGCTGGGTTGGGTATCAATTTATTGTCTCAAAATTCAGCCATGCCTTAACTACGACGACGTTAAAGAAACAAACAACAGTTCTAGACTATACAGACTGTATAAGATGACGAAAAAACAGCACGTCCGAAGAAGGATTTCAAAACCACAAACTCTAAACATTTGTTTTGCGACCATGGCTACAGAACCGAACATTCTTTCAATACATGTATTTTAGATACATTTATA